GCTTATCTACTGTAATACATATTTTTAAATATGTGGAATCAACCATCCATTCTTTTTCTTACAGATGCCTATTACAGCATCTATCAGATTCTAAGGGCTCATCTTCATGTCCTTCTAAGCTTAATATAAAGATGCCTTGCTATTTTAGAGATCACATCCTCGTGATTTCACCTTCAAATGACACCTGGCCCAGCATGAAGGCAGCTTAAATTTGCATCTAACTTCAAAGGACCATGTGAAAATTCTCCTTGGGAAAAAACAGGAGTGATGCCCATTTGTCCCATTTCTGTTAGCACTTCACCAAGTGCCACAAAAATCAATAATCACTGCTTTGCAATAAATTTCTAGAACAGAACCAGTTGTAAATAGGCTCCTTGTGGATGGCTAAAAAGGGCCAGAGTTGGCCAATAAGAATAGTATCAATTTTCAAATTGCAAAAGTGTTAGCTGCCTGCATTTAATGTTGATCTAAGACTTACTTTCTGGGACAGGTGACATATAGGAAAGACTTTCATTTGCAGACTTCATTATTTGTGGAAATGGCATAAGAATATAACCCAGGGTTACTAAATTGACTCATATATAATATACTGACTATAAATAGAACGCATGGACTGGATTTGCACAATACATCAAGACTAAAGTCTAATGGTCAGATTTGCAGTTCAATATGCATGAAATCATAAAATATGCCCATTTATAGAGGTTTCTATAAAGCAGAAAAATTGTTGTTTCGAACTCAGAACCAACAGGAAATTCGGGATGTCCTGCACTTATTTTAAGTCAGCAGCAACTCAATAGAAGCCTTCTCTCGTCTCCCAACTTAACATAACCCCCTAACCAATCCTTTGCCTTTCTTTCTAAATAGCCAATGTTTAGATATCCTACAGACCTGCCTGCCACAATTATCCCAAGGCCTTCCCTTCTCTGTAGGGAAAATTACTTGAGAGCTGTGATGGTGCAGTGGTTAGAATGCAATATTGCAGGCTAATTCTGCCGATGGCCAGCAGTCCTATTCTCACCAGCAGTTCTATTCTCACCTGCTCAAGGTTGACTCAGCCTTCCATCCTTCTGAGGTCAGTGAAATGAAATGACTCAGATATGAGGACTCAATATGCTGAGGTTATAAACCACTCAGAGACTGCTGTAAAGCATTATGGAGTAGTATATAAGTCTAAGTGCTATTGCTATAAGAGTCATGCCTATGATCCAAAAAGCACCATGCATTCATTTCAACAAAACTTCAAATTCTTAACTTGCATCACATATATGCTAAAATACATTCTAGAGCAGTGGTTCTCAACTTTTTCTTTACCACTGACATCCTTTAAATACTTTTTGTGGCCATGGACAATGGCCATGGACCATCAAGACTTAACCCCAAGATTTAAATCATAACATTTCTTCAAGCCTTCATGAACTCCCTATGATGACATCAGCCCCCCCCAGAATCCACAGACTACAGGTTGAGAACCACTGTTCTAGAGCATAGTCCTGCAATCTTGTACCCTCCAGTTTTTTTTTTAACTACCTTTCCCACAATTCCAAGCAAGCATGCTTATTCATGAAAAACTGTGTTATGATATAATGGTGAATTGTGTTCACCCCCATAAAATAACATGGTGAATAATGCAGGAAATAAAAGTTCTCCTTAGAAAAGGAGATCTATATGCACAGATTAGCATTATCTGTGCATCTAAGATGCAAATAAAATTATTTGTTACAAAAGTAATTTATTGCATGTCCGAATATATTCTTATCACATTCTTTATCAGAATTGAACATTTAGATCCACTGAGATTATTTACAATTAAAGCTTGCTACTGCAGCTTTATCTTGTTTGAACAGAATCTTGACACATCTCTTTTATCAATACCAGTTATTTCTGTGATTCCGGCTCTAAGAATGTATCAAGCTTATCTATAATGGCTAGCCTAACATATTCATGTTTTTTTTCTGTACACTAGATAGGTCAAATCAATAAAGCACATTCTCTTAACATTTTGAAAGGCTCAGTTGCTTTTCAGTTCCATTAATTCTTTGCAACTGATAAATGCAGCAATACTGTACCTGTTTGTTACATCATCATCTAGCCACCTGCTCTTTGCAAGAGTTCAGATTAAACCAACAGATGATTGTGCAGTCTCTATTTGACCACTTCTACTAAAAGGGTAATTAGCTCTTTTAGTAAACTACATGGAATGTTTTGCATTTTTCAATCGTATTTTAGCCTAGCACACAGTAGAATCCCTGTGTTTTATTTTATGGTGCACAGTGATCTAATAAAGTTAAATAGTATTAATATTTGGATGGGGACCATTGTAAAATCCCATTAAAGGAAAGAAAAGAAAAAAGACAGCTCAGGAAAAGACAATGGAAAACCATTTCTGAATTGTTGCTAAGAAAATGACATGGTTTTGTCCAAGAGAATTTTTTTTACCTTTATATCATGTAAACACAGCCAATACTAAGCTAAGACAAGAAATGTAAGTTGTTATGTTTCTATACTGATCACATCTTTGATTCCCTGAATGAACTGCAGTTCCCATACATTATTTTTACTTAATCAACCTGTAATTAAATCCATGTACTTTTTATTATTTGTTAGCTAGATTTATATCCTATCTTTTCACCAGGACTCAAAGTAGCATACATTCCATTTTTTCGTAAAGCAATCTCCATGAAAGGCAACATATTCAACATTTATTGAGAGATAATAACTTGCCTGTAAGTCACAAAGTAAATTTCTGTGCCCAAGAGTGTTCCTGAATCTAGGTTCCCTTGTTCTAACTCCACCTCAACTATACATGGTAGTTATTTTTGCACTATTGATTACCATACTGAGGTATCACACAAGTACTAAGTTGACAAAAACAATTTAGTAGTTGTAGTAATAATATATTAATCTTGTATGCCACTCAAATCTCAATTATTCTGTAATGTACTGGTATTTGGTGAACCCTAAAGTTTAGCAAGAGCAAACATTCTTTTTATTCATGAGAAGAAATCTCTTTAATATGAAGGCTTTTATATCTTAATATTGCTCATTTCAATGTATCTGCACTGTTTATTGTCGCTATGTATTGCTTTGAGCTCCTTGTTCTGAAAAAAGGAGCACATATGCACTGTTATTAAATGAATGTCAAGAATCCAGCATTTAATCTGTGCATCAAACTATAAATTCAAAAAGCATGTAGAAACGGGCAAAACTACTGTTCTGTGGAATATGTCTTTTTTAGCTGGGTGTCTTCCACAGCACATTTTGAATAGAGTTCGAACTTTATTAAGCTGATCCCAAATACATAGCTGAAGAGGCTTCTATTATTTATAATATGCTGTATTACTTATATGATATGCACCCCAATATATCGTTCAGAAGAGCCTATAAAAAGCAGAGTCAGTTTTAAAAGATCAGAGTAGAAATACAGAACACATTAATGTCAGCAGTGTATAACAAGGTTGGATTATGGGGGGGTTTTTTTCGGTCCATAGACAAAAATAAATTTACGTTTCATTATGTAAAAGTCGTAAAATAAAATCCTCAGGTAGTTACCTCTTCAGTTAAATTTCAATGATCAAATTGCTTCTCTTCCTGCTCCCCCCTGTACTATCGTCACAAGGTTATAGAGTCCCCGACGGTGTTTCTTCTCCCTCAGTAGCTATTTTCCAAAGCACCTGAAGGCAGGACAAGAAGCAACAGGTGGAAACTAACCAAAGAGAGAAGCATCCTAGAACTAAGGAGAAACTTCCTGACAGTGAGAACAATTAACCAGTGGAACAACCTGCCTCCAGAAGCGGTGAATGCTCCAACACTGGAAGTTGTTAAGAAGAAACTGGACAGCCATTTGTCCGAAATGGTATAGGGTTTCCTGCCTGAGCAGGGGGTTGGACTAGATGACCTCCGAGATCCCTTCCAACTTTATTATTATTATTATTATTATTATTATTATTATTATTATTATTATTATTATTATTATTATTATTATTACATTCGAAGTGTTTCAAAACTGGCAATGCAAAATGTAAACACAACAGAGGAAGTGAATATGTGAAGAGAGAATGGCACATGTGCATCTTTTAAAATTCCCCAGTAGCGATGAGTCATACACTTCCTGTTACAACAGAAGCTTTGAAATCCATCGTCCACATACAAGTTTTAATTAACCCATCATCTTCTGACGCGCTGCTCCAGAGCAGAGATTTTGATCCTCCTGGCTGGACCTTCTACCTATACCAGCTAAGCTGGCTCAGGAATTCTGGCAGTTGAAGTCCACGAGTCATAAAAGAGCCGAGGTTGCCTACCCCTGATCTATACCAAAAGGCTAACTTTCGAACTAGGAAAGGGGGGATGCTTCTTTTTGCTGGCCATTATTTTGAAACAAACCCCCCTCCACACACACACACACACACACACACACACAATCTCCTGTTTGCTAAATGCCTTCGATGCACCTTGCATCCCAACTCCTGAGCCATCCTATGAACGGAGTTGGCAAAGCCAATTCCTACCGGCTGGGCCATTCGAAAGAAGCCGGCGAGAGAAAGTCCACACGGATCCCAAACGTGCGCGGGCGGGCGGGCGGGCGGGCGGGCAGCCGGGTGGACCCAAGGCCAATTGCTTTCTTATTGCAACACCCCACACTCACACTTGAAACTTCGCTTGAGAAGGGCAGCGTTCGTATGCCTAGAATACTGGCCTTCCTTCCACCAACCTCGAAATCAAAAAGCTCACACGGGCCGCCCCCCACACCTTGGAGTAGGCCGCGGGTACCAAGAAGGAGCCAGTGTCGACCGCGTTCCCTCAGTAAAAGGGGGTGAGAAGGGCGCCCCGAGCCGCGGCCGGTTATTTTAAGCCGTACGAAAGGCAGTGCTCTATTAATACGGCTCTGGCGCCCATTGCAGGGGTGAAGAGCACCGGATACGATGCGGCTCTTTCGGCTTTGCCACCTTGCCGAGCGCGCTCGGAGGACAAAAAAAAAACAAATAAAGCTTCCTCATTACCTTCCAACCGGCTCCCAAACCAACAGCCGCCTCAACTCTTTTGTTCCTCACAGGCCAAAATGGCGATGCGGAGCGGGACGGCCCTTCCCCCGCGGATAGAGGGTAAGCCCCGCCCCGCCCGTCGCCATTGGCTCAGGGGGAGTCAGCCTCTGCTGATTGGAGGTGAAGGAACCAGACTCTTGTTACTAGGGGAGCCGAGGCGGGCGGCCAGGCATCGTGCGCCGCGTGATGATGGGGAAGGGGAGGGTTAGAAGAGGAGCGATGAGGACTTGGGGAGACCAGCAGAGTCGGGGGGGAGGGGCCGCGCAAGATTTGGTGGACGACTGGTAGCAACCACAAGCGGAGGGGAGAGCGGGAGGATGTTTCCTAAATGAATAGTAGCCCTAGGGTTGCCAGGTGTCCACTATTTGAGTGGACAGTCCACTTTTTCACATTATGTTCACTATTTTTTTTTCACAAAATAGTGGACATTTTTTTTATTCAAAAGCTTTATGATGAAATGGTACGTAATCTAAAGCTGTACAGTCTACTTTTTTTACTACTTAACACCTCCCCTCCCCCCCCCCCCCCCCCCCCCCCCCCCCCCCCCCGCTTGTCCGCTATTTTTTGGAAGCAGACCTGGCAACACTAAGTAGCCCCCTGGAAGCCACCGGGGGCTAGGCTTACTTTGAGTCCTTCAGCTGTTGCCAATGCTATTTTTCATCAACATATGTCATTCCCAGCCTTAAGCAACGTCTCATCTTTGTTTTCATTCAGAAAAAAAAACTGGGTTCAAACAAATTTGACGTCGGTTTCCTGTTCTTTCCTGGAATAAAAATAATAAAAGCAATAAAATGCAATGTTCTATATATGTTAGAGCCCAGAATTCATCGAAGTGGTTAATGGGGGGGAGAAATTTCTAGGCCAAATCTACACTTAGGGCATCCCAATAGAGGTGCCAGATGGAGAAGGTGCTTGATCTCTACTTGCCTGCACATTGTCCCTTGTCTATGAGCTCAGAAAGCCTGTGCATTTTTCTTCTCCAGATTGCAGCACTGTGTCAGGGCACCTGATTGGTTGTTAAATTTCCATTCCCCTCAAACA